AATTCCTTGTGTATGTTTTATACTTGGCCATTAAAGTACTGGTATTGGTATTGGTTATATCTGTCATTCCGAGCATTTTTCAAGCTCTGTCAAGACCAGGAAGTCCCCAGGCCCTTTCCAACTCCTGAGCAAGGGTTAACCAGCCATCCTTGAATTGCCAGAACACTATACAAATAAGACATCTATCATCCCCATGGCCAACCTCCATTCTGTCTTTCAGCTCACTGCAGTCTCAACCTTCCTCCTCCTGTGTAAAGGGCACCGAACTCCAACATACGGTCTACAGCTTGAGGCCGTCCTTGGACGATGTCAAAATCAAAGAGAAAATGCTGATCCAGCTAACCATGACTTAAAGGCTGTAATTAACTTTTTGCCAGTGTTTTTTTTTTTTCTGGTATGGTTGTTATTAGATTGATTGTTCGTGTTCCATCAATTATTGTAATTATGTTTAGATTTAATTATTGCAATTTAATTTACCATGGATGTTTTTTTACTATGTTTAATTAATTGCTACAAATTAGTTTGTTTATGATAGGTGCTTATTACATTGGTATTGTGAATGTTTTAACCAGCTGTACATCACGGTGAGTCTTTGGCAGATTTGGCAGTATAGAAATACAAATAAACAAATACTGTAAATATCCAGCATTGCCAAAGATATTAGGTGGTGGGCAGTAGTGGTGGCAGGGCCCTTTGCTCTTTAAAACTATTTGGGGCTACACTACAGCCTGTGAACGTGCCCCACTTCAAAATACAGCTAGGTCTCAATTAGCGTGGATAATGAATCCCACAAAATGGTTGCATTATTTGATTTTGCACTATTCAGAGTAATATTTCTATGGAAAATGGGGTAATTGGTTCTAGCTCAACAGAAATAGGCAGTGAAAATATTTAAACATAAATGTTTATATGCATATTAATGCGATTTTACGTTAAAGGATAAAAAGAATATACTTTTCATTTAAATTTATGGTTAAGAAAATCACAAAGTAGTTATAGGAAGCAAAAGAAGAACAAAAACATTCTACCAGAGATTCAGGCGTTCCAACATCTTGTCCTATTTTAGGGTTGCTATGACCACATTCACGTCATTCAATTACATCAACTTTTTGCTCTAATGTAACAACAAGCCTCTTCCTTTTAAAACTTGCGCTGTTTTTCTCTGGCGGAATCTTCCTTTTCTCCATTTTGCACACACAAAAATTAGCAGCGTCTAAAGCCCAATCGCCACTGCATGTGCACGAGCCTCAACTGGGCACCTGCTAGCCTCACCTTCACTGAATTTTGGTTCGCATTAAACGCAACCCGGTATCAACTTACAATTTGCACTAAATCAAATATCACATTCTTCGAACTTGCATTAATCACGACCAACCTGTAGCATCAAAGAGGGTGCTGCTTTGGGGCAATTGGCCTTGGCAAGAGGTTCTCAAAGATGAGGGGGGGAGAAGGGTTTGAGGGCTGCACGTTGACTTCAGGTTGCCCTGTCCTGCTAAAGGGGCAAGTGACCTTAAAGACTGGAGAAGTCACAGCACAGGAAGACTGTCACTGGTCACCCACCTCATTCTTGTAGCCAACCAGTCACAAATCTCCCCTTAGGGTTATGAATGGACAAGGCTCCTCCCTGTGCATTTCCGGAGGCTATCTTGCAGGAGGTCCCACAGCTTTTCCTTCAGCCCAGGTGAAACACTTTTGGGATTAAGGAATTGCTCTGCCTTATATCTTAGAACAAGGCAACGGACAGTTACTTGCAAGCAGAAGCCAGAGAAGTCCATTTTGGTGACAAATACATTCTACGACTTGGGTTAAAAGCCGCTTTGAGGAAAAGAGGCCCTTTTGTTTTAAAAGGTCTTCAGCCAGGAGCTACAGAAGTTGCATGCAGCAAGGGCATAAGGCTCTCTTATTCAGGAAGAGTGCTTTTGTAAAAGTAGAGCCTGCAGTAAGCCAGGAGGCTGGATTAGATGACATGCAAGCTCAGCCCAGTCTATGATCTTATAAAACAGAGTTGCTCAACCTTGGCCACTTTAAGATGTGTGGACTTCAACTCCCAGAATTCCCCAGCCAGCCAG